TTGGGAAAGCAAGGCTATGTGAAATTCAATGGAAACGTCAGCTCTACTTATATCATTGTGGGAAAATTCTTCTACCAGACCTTCATCACCTTAAACAAAATTGGGTGAGTACATCTCATAATACAAACTACCCCAGTGAAGCTAGAGCGTAAGGGATTCTATGCCTCTTATCATGGCTTGTTGCAAAAAAGTCTTTATATTAAGTGCCCTACTCACCCTATTTCGTTCAAGGTAATGAAGTACTGGTAGTTAAATTTTCCCCATAATGCTATAAGTATGTCTCTCGTTTCCATTGAATTTCATATTGTATTGCTTCCCAAAAGGTAGTATCATGCAGAGTGGAATGCACTTTCGACTTTTCCAAGTCTCACCAGTCCCCCGGCAGGCTTCAAACCAGTGCAGCCTATAGTTTCGACATGTAAACCACTACGCCATATTGCCACCTTCATCACCTTAAGCGAAATTTGGTAAATGAAGCATTTACTGCTCTGATAAGAGGCATGGGATCGCTTACAATCTAGCTCTACTGGGGAAGACTGTATTAGTCACTAAGAAATTGTATAGAAAATATAAAACGTTATGCTTGCATGCTTGGTCATAATAAAAATGTATCGATATTTGTCATCACTATCACATCATATATTGATTGGGGAAATTACTTAAGTAATAGAAAGTAGAAGCACAACAGCTCTAGCTACAATTTCCGTCGACTTTGACTACTTATAAAAAAAGAATAATTAAACTCAAGTTGGTTAGGCGTAAAAAGTGAATGTGGGCTGCCGGTAACAGCTCTTTTCAATCTCGTAGGTATCGGATTTGATGAATCAATCGAATTTTTTGCATGAATCTCAACGAACTGAGTAAGGCATATAAGTGTTGTTTAACTTTTCCGTGAGTCATTATTTAACAATTATGTTGATATTTGCGTTTTATTTTTTTTAAGGGTCAGGCTTCCTAATAAATGTATAGTCTAAAACTTCATTGCACTAGAGAATGAATATCTGATCTCGGACAAGATACAGGTTGCAACTTTACTTTTTTTCATAGAAGTTGTTTGACCTTGTTTTCGCAACTTGGTCATAATGGTAGGAAGACTGACGTGTA